CTTGGGGTAGGTACATCTTTTTTTTCGGTGATTCTTCGAATTTACCTACTCCAAGAGGATTTTTCAGGACTTGCACTTTTGTTTCATCCTATGCCTTGAGGAAATTTCTGATGTCCGAAGTCATAGGGGGGGACCTGCAAATCATCGTTGCACTGAGCTTTGATGGCACTTTGACCGCAGTTTGCTACCAAAAATGGATAAAAATGGTTGATTCTGACCAAGAGAAAAACGAGGATTCAACATGGTTTAACATGATTTGATCAAGAAAAAAAGAGGCTTGCACATACAACATGAGGATATAGACCATCAATCGATTCAAACATGGTTTAAGCAGAAATATTTGCATAGTTTGTGTCAAAAACATGACGCCACAATTTAATAACATATTGAGGACTTCAGAATGAAATGACAATTCAACCAACAAACATTATATAAGGATTTAACCAACAACAAGGGGCTATCACCCATCGATAAATGGATTGGTATTAGGGGAAATCGACTTATGTTTTAATTATGTTTTCCTGTAAAATTTCCCTTCAACCAATTCTAGCTGAAATCATATTGTAATGCAATTTTTAACGTGTCAGGAATATAGGAATAAACAAACTGGATTCAACCCATAACATATTTTTTGTTGATCACATAAACAAACATTAATTCACCATATCACAAACGCAATGATGGTCAATGATTTTTTGGTGATTCCTGAAATCGTAAAAGGACTGGTCTTCACCTTGGATGGCTGAAACCCTATGAATAATGGGATAAACCACCTATCAACTGGTGCAGGATTTCTTCCATCAACCATAGGTTTGCATCTTGGGGCGTTGTAGTTTCTTTTTTAAAAAAAAATCTGAATCCATCGAATCATAACTCTATTTCTCAATCAATTTATGGTTGCTAAAGTTCATCAGAAACCAGAAGCATCCTGGGTCCGAGCGGGTCAAGTGGCCCACAATTACTGGATTCACTGGAACAGGTGGAGCAACAGGAAACGATTAGGGCTTTCCGGTAGGTCTTCCCAATGTGGGTGTTCCCCTTATGAGTTGGTTAAAAAAACACCGTGTAACCCGTGTAAGTCATTAACGCTAGTTACTGGAGCCACACGTAACCCGAAAATGATCCCGGGAAACAATTGCTGTTCTACAGTATTTTTTCCAAGTGTTGCAACCCTTTGTTGGATTGAATAGATGAGTTTGATAGTTGAGTAAAATCAATAGTAGCAACTAGATTACTTAAATGTTAAATGATCTTAAGTAGCTAGGTCTACTTAAGATGTATGTGTATATATATATATCACATTCTATGTGACAACTCCAATCTACTTTCAGGTAATCGATATACTATTTCTAGTTTAATTCAGTTATTGCTACTTACCTATCAGAGCTATTGAGATTTAGTATATCGACTGATCACTCCAAACCACCCCAAGTGACTTCAGGGTAGGAAAGGCCAGGCTCCACCAAGGCCTTAGGACGGAGACCCGAGAGACCCGAGAGACCCGTGGCCGGACGGCCGGACGACCTCTGGGGAGTCTCTCCGCAAGTTATGGCCCGTTTCAGAGAACTTTATGGCTCTAAACAATTACAACTGGCGAACAGAAATATAACCTATATAATACATTTAAGTTATATATATATAATATACATTTAGGTGACACTATAAATATATATATCTATATCTATCTATCTATCTATCTACCTATCTATCTATCTATCTATCTACCAGTTTCAGGAGTTTGAAATGCCAGTTACAGCTCTTAAGGGCTATGACTGTAGGGAACATAATCATGAACCGATTTAGGCCGATTTAGGGGCACTTTATTTTCAGACAAGTTCAGTTTTTAATGATATATGAAAGGATTTGTGATTCAGGGTGGATTTCTCTGCTTACAAAGTAGGGAGCCCCTGTGAAATGTGTGTTGGTCTACAACCCCATATAGCTAGTTCGATATCCACACCATGTTTTTTCCTTTTTTGGATTGTATCATATCCCACTGTTTTAAAACATACAGTAACTGTAACTGTCCGGCTATTTCTTTTCAGGAACAACACATTAAAACAGGCCAATCCTAGATCACCTCTTTATCTGGTTATATAGTTTAACTTCTGCTTAAACAAAACAGACCGTACCCAACCAGTGGTTACTCAGAAGGGCACTGGTGTCGGTAAAAGCTGGGATTGTAAGCCGGCTCATTATCAGCTCATTATCTATATCTATCATAAACCCTAGCTAACCCAATTATAAACCAACTTAGCTATCAGAAGCATCAACTATGAATCCCCAGTAAAAAGATATTTTAAGTAGTTAAATCCCCATCTCTTTTTTTACATAGTTTACCTGAGCAAACAAGGGCACCAACTTCGCGATTCAACAGGGGCACCACCAGGACCGTCCAAGATACAGAGGATACCAAGCTCAAGGTAACTGCAGCCATGATCCTTAGTCAACGAGAAAAAAGCACGTCATTAAATGAGACTTGGATATAGATAGTGAATAACTAGACTCAGCATTGTAACATCCAACATAGTTTCATGTGTGTGTAGACGTATAATATGTATATATATATATATACTATATAGATTAAAATTCGGGCCATTCAAAGACATTTTGGTGGCTAAGATAATTGTCTGGGGTGGGGGGGTCCACAGTATATTGCCGAAATTGTGGTATGTTTGGTGGCTGCTACAGCATCCCTCTCTCCTGTTTTGAAATTTTGAAACACGGCCAATCTTCGATGCCATCTTTTTCACAATATGATTTCTCCCTGGTAATATGTCTCCACTGACCCAAAAAACAATAAGCTTGGATTGAAGCACACATTGAATGACGTTCTGCAATAAACAACCCTGCAAAAACAAATTGCGGCCCAGCGACTTTTCAACTGTTTGGAGTCTTCGTCAGGCTTCAACGGCTGCGTTTGAGCAACGAAATGGCTGAGATTGAGAGTTGAGAAATTGTTTGGTGCAAAACAGTGAGATATGTACCTTTATCATTCAAATAGTAACCTCCAAACAGATACACTTTTGATCAATTTTGTATCCAATTTGTTTATTTCCTATCTGCGTTTGAGTTAACCTGCAAACAAATTGAATGATAGAACAGGTTCAATATAACTCGATTTCTAGGCATGGATCTTGGATGATTTTGGAACCTATCTGTTTGGATGCTGAGGATGCTAGAGAAACCAAGAGAGAAACCAGTGAATTTCAGTCGATTCTGGGAGTCTCATCCTGGTGATGTGGGCTTCAAAAAGGCTGCCTTTTTTGGGGCCCAGTGATGTGAACGTTGGTTGAAAAAAACACCATTAACTAGTTCGTTCTCTGCAAATCCCATAGGATCCATGTATGGTATATATGCTAACATTGGGGGTATATTGATGGTAAATGTTACCATATATAGCATACATGGATCCTATGGGAATGGGTATAACATAACTATATATATATATATATATATATAGTTTAAAAACATCATTAAATACACTTATGACCATATTTTTTTGCACATCATAAACCATAGTGAACTTGGATGCGCAAACCAACTCAGCTATCGTTTGGGGGCCTCACTTTGTACCTGTCAAGTTCAGCTTCCAAATCAATCTCGGGCAGGTTTCGAAGTTGGCGTCGTCACGCGTCGTCTCAAGCTGCAAGGGCTGAAGAGCCCGCGCAGCACCCTGTTGATCTGCCGAGACCACGGTGCCACGGTGACTGTCTCATCGCGCATGTCCAGGATCTGCTTATTTTTCCTGGAGATTTATCTGCTTAAAATCTGTCTTGAACTACTACCATGATTACCATGGTAAGTTTTTCTTGGTTACCAGGCCCGCCATACTTTAAGCGGGGATATATCATGATATCTATCGGCAGATGGGTGCATAACCCAGAAATTGCAGGCCATTTGTTGGTAGCTCATGGAACTTCAAATGTACTGCGTGCCAGTGGCTGGATAATTTCCAGACAGTGGATGTTGCTATTGTTTTGAACAATGAAACATGCTTAGTCCTGGTAGAAACTTGCTGAAAAACGCACGAAAAGTGCGCATCACATGCAGACCCGGTGGAGAATGAGTTCACTGAGTTCATTCTCTGGTCATCTAGTTGGGCTGGATATCCCTCATCGACAGATAAACAGTATACAAAAAACCCTCTATCACTCTACTATACTGTAGGGTTGAAAATGGGATACCCTGCTCGTGGATCATGATAATCCCCGCAAATAAGGGCAGTATAGGGCCCCCATCGACGTAATCATCAACAAACATGTGTGTGTATTTGACACTGCTCATATACTGGTCAAAACATTGACATAGGCCACTAGCTGCCACCGGACAAAAAAACATGTTACTCACAGTTGCTACTAAACCATTCTATGCAGAGTCACACATTTTGACCAGTCCATCTTCGGCCCCCCCTATTGTACAAGGTGGCCCCTCAAAACAATAGGTAAGTCACTTTATGGCTAGGGGAAATCTATAACATGGTTTAAAATTTAAAGCTGATTTTTGGTCGTCTATGGCATGTATATCTATAATTTCTAACTAGTGGGCAAACAAAGTGGTAGATATATCTATAATTAATTTAACATGACGCGAAACCAACCATGGTAGGTCTGGGTGCCAAGCCATTGACAGTAAATATTTAGCATCAATATTCTATCATCTCAAACCCTAGTTAGAATCACCATAAACTCTGGTTTCTGGTTGTAGCTTGTTATAGCACCACCCCCCAAAAAATGCCGAAACGTTAGAAACCTGAAAATATGAGGCAAAATATGATCCAACGAACATTTTGGTATACCCCCCTTGGCATCCTTTTTTGGTGCTTATGGGCTACCTCCAAAGTGTTTTAAGCAGGTTTTGACCTATATTAAGCTATATAATATATATATATATATCCTATATTCCATTCCAATACATATCCCTTACATAGGACCTTTTCGGTGGTATCCTTTTTTTGTTCCACCAAAAGTTCACCAACAACATCCCAACATCCCAATATCGGCCTTGCGCGGACCGCCCAGTGCAAGCCATGGCAGGGCCTGAAATCCCCTAGATCATGGTGAAGTCCAGAGGAAATTTATGATATGTATGGGTTAATGATCTAACCATGACTTAATCCATGGTTAATCTCCTATTCTCCTCTTCATGATAGTTGTCGAGCTGTCAGGTGTCAAAAAGGAATCTTTTTGATCCATCAAAAACCATCGGATGGCAACAGATATACCCAGAAGATATATTCGTGTATATTCCATGTCATAGTCAACCTGCGTTAAAAGCTCACAACAAATTGTCTTCTGCTGGTTGGCTGGTGACCTTCCATTCTATCCAAGATTGGGGATGTAACTTGGATTTGCTCAAGGAACCTCCAGAAAAACAAGTCCTCCATTGTGGAATTTCCAAGTAGTGACTAGTGAATGTTCCATTGAGAAATGAAACAATCATTGACTCAGCGAATCTAAGTGTGGTGGTTTAAACTCTGGGTTTTACCAATGGGATACGAATAAACATGTTCGTATTGATATATTTGCCAAAATAAGGAATATGTATTTTATCAATAATGCTCAATAATTCTTCGGGATATATTTTAATCAACAATGGGATACGAATGGAATATCTAGCTCTGAAACAAGCCGCTTATCCCAGGAATACGCGGCTTCGCTCACCCATTGCTGAATTCAGTAGGCTAAGTCGGGCCAGTCACATTTGGGTCCCATTGGAACTGGGCACCAAGTCACCGACGATTCTTGGGGTCGCCAAGTTTAACTAAGTTTAATTCTGTTGGGATATAACGGAGAGAGAGAGAGAGAGAGAGAGATGTGTATATATATATATATTGAATCCGTCCTAATAGCTGTAACAGTCAAAAAAAAACTTTATAGTTTGGGCGAACGTCGTTTTGAGTGTCTTCCTTCGTGCACAAAATCGTGCTTTTCGGTGCTTTCCCTCGTGCAAAAAATCGTGCTCTAGATCGTGCTTTTTGGATCTCTCCCTTGTGCCAAAACCCGTGCTCTAGATCGTGCTTTTTGGTGCTCTCCTTCGTGCCACAAATCCTGCTTTTTGGTGCTCTCCTTCGTGCACAAAATCGTGATTTTTGGTGCTCTCCCTCGTGCGCAAAATCATGCTTTTTGGTGCTCTCCCTCGTGCCACAAAACCGTGCTCTAGATCGTGTTTTTTGGTGCTCTCCTTCGTGCCACAAATCGTGCTTTTTGGTGCTCTCCTTCGTGCCACAAATCATGTTTTTTGGTGCTTTCCCTCGTGCCAAAAATCATGCTCTAGATCGTGCTTTTTTGTGCTCTCCTTCGTGCCCAAAATCGTGCTCTAGATCGTGCTCGCTGTTACAGCTATTAGGCTTGTGTCAATAAATAAATAAATAATTATATATATATATACATTTACTTATATATCTTATATAACTTGAAAAGGGAGTCAACTAAACTTGATGCGGTCCGTGGCCATAGCTTCTTTATGCTTCGGCTTTCACCAGAAGCGTCAACTACACTAGCCGCTAGCCATTTGTTTTCTTGGCAGCAACATCTATATATATATTTTTCAGTTTATATATTTCATTGCAGTGACTGCGGGATTGACTTCTTGGATATAAAGTATCACTCCGGTTAAATGGGGGGAACTAAGCCAACTTGGTAACTTGGAGGTGTTTCTTGGCCAACTTTGTCTGATCTCAATACCCTAAAAAAATCAAACATAGCTTCCTGCACAATGACCCATTTGGTTCAGTGATCCATTGATACGAGGTGGTGCCCCAGTTCATTAGCCAAGTTGGTGAAAATAACTCCAATAACTTTGGTTAACTTGGGTTTATGGTAGATATATCTATAGTATTCTATATAGTTACAATAATGTCCTTTTGGTAAAAATAGGTTTGGGCCGGTTTGGTATACCATCTATCATCAAACAAACTTTCAAACCCCTCTTTTTTAATCAACCAACCAATGGGAAAAGGACATCTATGTATAGTTAATGGTGGTTATAATTCAAGAACCATAACTGGAGGGGCACCACCTTGTAGGAGGTTTCCCCATCAAATCCCACTCACAAATAGGCATCCATGTCCACATGTCCAATCATGGTTGATCAAATACATAATATATATATATGTATGTATGTATATATATATATATACATATCTATTATGTATTCATGTTTATACATATTTAAAATATATATATGTATACACGTATACATATATATATATATATGTATGTATTCCTATTCTATTCCCAATTCAAACCCCGTTAAACTGGATCCTTTGGACGCAGTTCCCCATCGGCTGAAGGGTCGCTGCAGGCTGCACTGAGGGCCAAACTCTGACCTTTTCGTCCACTTCCAGCGCTGCAGCACCAAATTCTCGCCAAATGTCCGGGCCTGATGAGGGAAGAATTACTGTTGGAAATCAAAGGAATTACCAAGGTGGCCCCAATTACATGAGAGACTATTTTACGGACTTATGGTGCGTTTATGCTACGGTGAATGTATCAGCAAAATGGTTTACTGGTTGGTGGTATACCTACCCCTCTCAAAAATATGAAAGTCAGTTGGGACTACTCTTCCCAATATATGGAAAATATGGAAACATAATCCAAATGTTCCAAACCACCAAGCAGTTTAAATTGGTTTCTTAGCCCGTCGAAATATCAACAGATTCACCATAAATCCTAGCTTTTTATCAGTGAACTAAACCGACTTGGAACCAAAAAATGTGCTACGTATGGCGCACAAAAACGGGGCCATACTGCTATAACATCAACCAACAGAAATGAGATATGGGACAGGAGGGGATCAGCCGGGATCAGCCCATTTTTCAGTTGAAATGTCCCCAGCAATCATCTCGTTGACCACTAAGCATCATAAGGGCACTAGCATCGGCATATTCATTGCCAATCAGCCAGATACCCATGGCCAAAATGGGAAATTGATTGCTGGTGAACGTAGATATTCCCATTCATACCACAAGACTATTTTGGATTAAAGTACCCATCTAAGATTAACCTAGTTAAGGCAATTTGGGGATGATTTCCCTTAAAACAATGATAGTTGATTGATTGATTGATTGATTGATCGATTGATCGATTGATTGATTGACAGTTGATTGACAGTTGATTGATACCAAAGTACAGCCACAAAGTGTTTGAAAGGTGCGTTTGGGATTTCCAGGGCCTCTTGTTGTCTCCGCCGTTAACGCATTGTCAGTGGATTGTTGTAAGTCGCTCCAACTCGTCAAGGAGTGCCAAGCCAGTGAGAGATTGGCAAAAGATGCCACCACTGTGTGTGATTTCTTGCTTGCAATGAATTTCTTACAGGAAATTCTGTTTTTTTAACATCAACTATGGTGGTTCCTCTAATCTTCTCCTTAAACCACGGCTGAGAGTTGTGGTTTGTTGCTGATGTGGGTTTGGGTATGTTGCTACAAGGTGAAGGCCCACAAACGATGGTTAAAGTGCTCATACGTAGGTTAACCTGGGATTCTCTTATGGGTTTATAGTGGACATGTCTATACCACTCTCATGTTCTTCTTGGGTATCGCACCACTTTTTTTACATGCTTTCCAGGGCCTTTTCTTGGAGTTACACATACCCATACCATCCAAGTATGTATATGTTTTTCGATAACTGAGCTATCTCCTGGGTAAATGTAGGCAAACGTCTTCAAGATCAGGCAACTGACAATGGCATAAAACCCCGTGATAAGCGGAGGTTTATAGCTGCCATGTGGGGCTCCCCCAGTGATGTGAACGTTGTTTTATAAACACCATCAATTAACTAGTTCGTTATTTGGTAAAATTGGATTTACTGTATGTTCACCAACTTGGCTATCGTAAACGGGGCCTCCACTTTGTAAAATCATCTATGAGATCCAGCTCCAGGCCACACGGACCTCACTGGGATCTCTGGAATATCACTTAATGGTTGGTGGTTGAGCCCTACCCCTCTGAACAATATGGGTTCGTCAGTTGGGATTATCATTCCCAATATATGGAAAAATAGAAAAATGTTCCAAACCACCAACCAGCTTAAAATTCTTTGCAGGAAGCTACTGTGGATACACGGATACACCCCCAAGTCCCCAAATTAAAACTCCAAACTCCTCCAAACTCTGCAGCCAGTCCTAAGCCAGGCCACGACAAGCCGCCAGATCTGCTGCGGTAATGAAGCCTGCACGTAGCAACTCTTGTGGGCACGTGGGCTGTTCGAGGGGACAATTTTAACCACTCAAGATGTTAATGTTCACCGAAATAAGGATGTATTATGATGTAACCATGCAATGGGGATTGATACTTAGAATCTGGATGGGTCTCTGTTGAAACACATCTCATCACAATCACAAATAGATTTGTTCATGAATCATATCATATAACTATAATATCTACAGTCTACTGTGGTGTTTATAGATAAACTTGACCTGAAGACGTCCTTGGCAACCGATGATGTCCCTGTCTTTTTGTGAGAGGATGCCATTGAAATATGGAGATTCTACATGATTGATTGTATATACTGCTACTGTTGGATTCAAATAACTCAAAGCAAACAGTTTTGGGCAGTCCATGAAGTTTTGCTCATTCATATTCCATGTGAACATATATGATCATATATGACACATGGACCTGAAGTAAAGTTTACTTTGCAATGGCACAAACAACCCAGCAATCACCACTCGTCAACTTTACCTTTTATATGTATTTTGAAGGAGTCAATCTGGCTGGGATCCGTTCGTGTTTAGAATCCTGCTAAATCCCCATTAAAAAAAAAACAAAAAAACATGTTTGGTATTGTTTAGGGGTGTCCCTTCGTGGTTTATGTCCCCATCTATGTTTGGTTATGTCGTTCGGTGGGGTCCCCGAACGCAAAAAGTTGGTGAATTTGGTGACTTGATCTAAATCTACGGATCACTGGCCACTGGGTCTATAAACAGTTCGCCATGGTATAGATGGTCCATAGAAAAAGAATGGTTTACCTATTAAAAATGATGATTTTCCATGGTGAACTGTTAAATAACCAGAGGGCATTATATATTACAAGTGTATGGGGTGGCAAAACCTTGTGGCGTTATAAATCAACAAAATCAACATTGCCTCTCTCAAAAAACAGGACGAAACCATTTGAGACACCCCCCATCTGCCTGCGGAGCGCCAGTCAATCGCTGAAAACCTCGGAAATCTCGGAATTTTCCTGCAAAACAAGAATAACTGGTTGGTGGTATACCTACCCCTCTGAAAAATGATGGAGTGAGCCAAGTTTAATGGAAAAATCAAACATGTTCCAAACCACCAACCAAATAAATTTGGACTTAGCTTGTTTTTGTGTGTTTAGTGGTGACTTTGAAGTTGTGACTCTGAGTACTTTGAATGGTGACTGAAGTTCTAGTGTTTTAGCATGTTGTTCCATTTTGGCATGTTGTTTACATGCCTATATGAAACACCTCACGTTGCTGTAGCTGAAACCGTTAGATTATTTAACTACAGAAACTGTTAGATTTTTACATGTTGGATATCCCAGAACTGGCGGAAAAAACGCACTTTTGGTCAGATAATCTGCGCGTGGTAGGTTTGCCAAGATTGACAGTCCTAACTGATGCAAATTGCAAATAAGAAGCTTAAGGACAGAATATATACAATGAAATCAGCTCAATCTGCATACAACCAACACAACCAAGCTTTGGTGGGTTTGAACTTTGAACCCCATTTTTTTTGCTTACACATTATATAATTACAGTATTAATAAAATATTGCATACTGTTGTAGATCATGATGATGTTTCAACTCCATTCTGTGGATCCCGTAGGATTGATTTGTGGCTTTGCCCCACTAGTTCTACTTGGAAATGGCCGTTTATTTGGGAAATGATTAAAAAACAATGTTAATCACTCAGCTGTTACATTAAGTTATGGACCATATGGATCATATGGATAATATGTTACGAGATGTATGGTGAGTGTTAATAAATAACCAGAGTATACCAGTAGTACCGCGCAAGGCGGTGGCGGAAGTTTCAAAAATAGGAAACCTATAGGAGAGATTGGTTGTTGTGAATCAGGGATGGCAGAGCGAAGTCACTGATGGACCGAAAGGTGCTTGAGGTCTCCTCTCTTTCTTTCTCTTTCTGTGACTATCTACCTACCTACCTGTCTATCTTCTATGTATCTATCTATCGATCTATCTATCTATATCTCTCTCTCTCGCTTTCATCTAATTACCTACCTACCTACCAATCTATCTATCTATCTATCTAACTACCTATCTATCTATCTATCTGTCTATCTGTCTACCTGTCTATCTGTGGTGCAGTGTCATTCAGTGTAATGTAGTGTAGTGTAATGTAGTGTAGTGGAGTGTAGTGGAATGTAGTGTAGTGTAGTGTAATGTAGTGTACTGTAGTGTAATTTATTGTAGTGGAGTGTGGTGGAGTGTAGTTGTGTAGTCGTAGTTGTAGTTGTAGTGTAGTGGAGTGTAGTGTAATGTAGTGAAGTGTAGTGGAGGGTAGTGTAGTGTAATGTAGTGTAGTGGAGTGCAGTGTAGTGTAATCTAGTGTAATGTAGTGTAATTTAGTGTAGTGGAGTGTAGTGGAGTGTAGTGGAGTGTAGTGGAGTGTAGTTGTAGTTGTAGCTGTAGTGGAGTGTAGTGTAATGTAATTTAGTGAAGTGTAGTGGAAGGTAGTGTAGTGTAGTGTAATGTGGTGTAGTGTAGTGGAGTGTAGTGTATTGTAATGTAGTGTTGTGTGGTGTAATTTAGTGTAGTGGAGTGTAGTGGAGTGTAGTGGAGTGTAGTTGTATAGTTGTAGTTGTGGTTGTAGTTGTAGTGTAGTGGAGTGTAGTGTAGTGTAATGAAGTGTAGTGTTTAGCTAAACTCAAAAACTCGCTGCCGTGGATATGTTGAAAACCGCACGAAGAGTTAGCGGGGGGGCGAACGTAGGGGCGAACATGCGGGCGAACGGGTGGACGAACGTCGCCCGCACGAGCGAGCGGGGGGGCGAGCGGGGGGGCGAGCGGACGGGCGAACGATTCGACTAGTCTTGTTTTGCCTGGTGATAATTAGTACAGTCAACCTGTGCCGAAATTATTTTACACCTACTTATACAACCCAAGAATACTGGTACAAAGTTGTTGGTATTCGAAACCCGTGCAATTTTGAGGGCGGGCCCACCCCCTTGAGGGCGCATTAAGGGGTCGCACGAAGGGGTCGCACATACGCATGTACGCACGTACGTACGCATGCACGCACGCACGTTCATGTGCATGTACGCACGCACGTTCACATGCATGTTCAGAAATAAGGTTACCTTTAAGGTTACCTTTTATATAAAAGGTAACCTTATTTCTGTACGACCCTAAGCCTCCTAAAGCATATTTAGTATTAGGAGGTCACTTTTCAAAGGTAACCTTATTTCTGAACATGGGTCTGAACATGGGCTTGAACATGGGTCTGAACATGGTACCTACGTACGTGCATACGTGCGAACGTACGTGCGTACGTCTGTGCGTACGTATGTGCGTACGTGTGTGCATGTGTGCGTTCGCCCCCCCGTTCGCCCCCCGGTTCGTCCCCCCGTTCGCCCCCCCGTTCCCCCCCCGTTCGCCCGCCGTACCCTCGCTCAGATGGCCGTACGCCCCCCCACGTTCAATACGTCTAAATAACTTCAAAAACAGGCCGCAGCGACCTTTTGGGTTTAGATAATGTAGTGTAATGTAGTGTAGTGTAGTGAAGCGAAGCGAAGCGACATCTGAGCCTCCAAAAGTGGTCCGAACCCCTAGTGCTTTTAACATTTTGACTTCAAAATGTGCTTCGCGCCACAACGGCGTGCACTTTTTTGAGATCTGGACTTCCAAAGTGGTCCGAACCCCTAGTGTTTTTTAACATTTTGACTTCCAAATGTGCTTCTCCCCACAACAGCGTGCACTTTTTCGACATCTCAACTTCCAAAAGTGGTCCGAACATGTGGTGTTTTGTACATTTTGACTTCGAAATGTGCTTCCCGCCACAACGGTGTGCACTTTTTCGACATCTCAACTTCCGAAAGTGCTCCAAACATGAGGTGTTTTTAGCTTTTTCACTTGCAAGTGTGCTTCGCGCCACAACGGCGTGCACTTTATCGACATCTCAACTTCCAAAAGTCGTCCGACACTGAGGTGTTTTGTACATTTTGACTTCAAAATGTGCTTCGCGCCACAACGGCGTGCACTTTTTCGACATCTCAACTTCCAAAAGTCGTCCGACACTGAAGTGTTTTGTACATTTTGACTTCAAAATGTGCTTCGCACCACAACGGCGTGCAATTTTTCGACATCTCAACTTCCAAAGTGGTCCGGAGCTGGTGTGTTTCGTACATTTTGCCGTCGAAATGTGCTTCGCGCCACAACGGCGTGCACTTTTTCGACATCTCAACTTCCAAAAGTGGTCCGACAATGGTGTGCTTTGTACATTTTGACTTCGAAATGTGCTTCGCGCCACAACGGCGTGCAATTTTTCATCTCTCATTTGGCCAGCTGGCTCCGCACCCGCCGCTTTAGCGAGCCTACTTTTCGACCCTCCGGAGCCACAAATCATTGGAAAAACACAGTGTTTCGCGACTTTCCTACCTTTTCGCGCATCTGCATCTTCTTTCTTCTGACTCTTTCTCTTCTACTCTTCTTTCTTCTAATCTTTCTCTTTTTTCTGCCTCTTCCCTGCTCTGCTTTTCATCGGTCCATATTGTCGGAAGTTTGACTTCTAAACTTCCTTCGATCATGATATGATCACATGGTCAGTCCAGTTCAGTCCAATTCTTACACGCTCGCTTGCGACAAACAAACATTTGACCAGGCGATGTGGCGATGTGAAACAAAGCCCCCAAAGATCAAATGTTTGCGAATAACCACTATGTCTATATGATTTGGAGGTTTATTATAGTGAATAATAGGAATATAGAAATATCACAAATTTTTATATGATTCATTATTCTATATTCTCATCCATCATGAACCATTGCCAATATTAGCAATAACCATGAAATGAAGCATGATTCTATATTAGCCATGATTAGTCTTAGAATTAAAATGCCATATTCTACATCTATACTGGTTGGTGGTTTCAACCCCTCTGAAAAATATTGGTCAATGGGAAGGATGACATCCCATATATGAAATGGAAAATAAAATTCATGTTCCAGTCACCACCAAGCAGTATCAAATTCATTGATTACCCTCTGGTTATTTAACAGTTCGCCATGGTAAAGATGGCCCATAGAAATAGATGGGAAAAATAATTCACAGTGTTCGGGATAAAGATCGTCGCAAACCTCGATGATGGCTGTGTCTAGGTCCGCAACTTGCCCGGGTGGAAAAGCAGTTTGATTAGAATAGCTAGCAATGGCTGCACACACTTCACTGACACTGACTCGACGGTGTTGGACTGTCGCACTTTGATCTGTCCACGTCCATCCATTTCCAATGGCACACAGAATAAGCTCGCGGATGTGACCATGAAACATGTGATCAGTCCACGGTGCCTGAGACAAGACTCGTAGTGCGGTGACAGCATAGCACATAAAGCTAGGGAACTGAATCATGTAGCATGCTGCGAGTTTGGAAAAGAAATCAATGTTTTGATGCACAAAGGAACCTGGCCATCCTGTGATGACTTCGTGGATCTTTCCATGGCCAATATGGAACTCCGCAGCAAGGACAGCTTGGGCCTCCGTACAAGGCCTCGGCCGTGAGTCCAGTGATGGCCGGAAAGTCCACGGCAGCACCTGTGACTTTCGTTCACGAGGAAGTCTTGGGGATCAAAGATGCTGATTTCATGAGAATTTCATGGGATTTTCTGGCATTTCATGGGAATGACGTGGGATTTTATGGGATTTAAAGGGGATTCAATGGGATGTATGTAATAGTGATTTCATGCGATTTTTCAGGAGTTTTTTTGTCTTATACAATGCGATTCAACCTATTGGGGGGTGCAGTTGAGATTACGGTGATGGCTATAACCATTGTGATTTTCACCCCCATGTTTCTTGGGATATGGGGCCCTATGGTGAAATCTATTGCTTTGTAACTGGAACTGCAGTTCCAAATGGTTAATAGGGAGTCCGGACATATATAGATTGTTGCGTATCCCGAACTAATCAGATTGTTGCGTATCCCGAACTAATCATCAAGCAGGGGTAGAAATTCTAGCACTTGAGACCCGGCCAATGCTCCATGGTGCTGGAATACCAGCAGTTCTCAAACCATTGACCCAAATCTAGGTATATATTGCGTACACGGAGCATATGGGTCAATTAATCTTAACTATTTGACTTCACCATCAGCTGATGTAACCTTCGTTGATGATTAGTAATTACATAACAGGTGTTCCTTCATTGATTAACATTAATCAAGTATTGGGCGTAACCTTAATTAATCTCCTGAGCTCACAGTCAAAGATTGGCAATACCTTCAGATGGCCCTCGGTCTAGAGGACGTTGCCGATCTTAGATAACCATAGGTAACCTGCATTAATGACCTTCAGCTTGGCCATTCATACCTTGCACCCATTCTTTTACTAATTGGTGGTTTCAACCCCCTGAAAAATATTAGTCAGATTGGATCATCATCCCAACTATGGGGGAAAATAAAACATGTTCTAAATCACCAACCAGTTAATCTTTTAAATCTGATTCTTAACCTACATTCAGCATACTTTTAGCCGACCATCCCTTGATATGAATCTCTGACTCAAGTAATCCAGCATGGCACATCAACCGATCCCATCACTTCAATAAAAATGCAAATCCTCCAATGAGGGCCCAGACATGTGTAAGTTGGTTAGTGTGGCTTTAAATATAACAGCTACAGTAGATGGGGTTGTAAACCAACTTAAACTGAGGGGTACCAATTTGTATCCCTTCATAAATTTCATGATATGCTCAAAAATCCTCATCAAAAATTGCCATAGAATCGCATTTCTGTTGTTGGTCTCAAGCCACACAGCTACAGCTTCATTTTATCTTAAACAAGCCCATCCAAATCATCCCACATGGATCCTCCAAACCATGGAAGCTTCACCTTTCCGGTCGTGACATGGTTGACTTGGCTGATTTGGGGCTCCCATTTTTTAGGACACCTCCATATCTGGTTGGTGGTATACCTACCCCTCTGAAAAATGATGGAGTGAAAGTCAGTTGGGATGATGAAATTCCCAAGATGATGGGAAAGTATTGGAAAGCCATAAAATTCCATGGTTCCAGTCACCACCAAGCAGTTTAGGACACCTCCATAAAAATGCGACGAAAAATGCGAACCGCAGCACCTATCAGCAAACCCATCCGCAGCTCTTGTGCTCCCAGTCGACCCGAGCCACGACGGTCCAAACGTAGGAAGGCCACCTGAAAATCCACGGAGATTCACGTCACGGTCAGTGCTGGTGCCCCAGTTGGCGAAGTTGGTCGTTTTTTTCTCCCAATTTCACTTGGGTTTATGGTAGATATATCTAAAGTTAACTGTGTTTTTTTCAATCAAATTCTAACTGGGAGGCACCACCTTATTTTGACCTATATATATAATTTATTTTGTATATGGGTTTCAAACAAAATATGACCACAACCCATTTCATCCAAAGTGCTGGTGGATCTAAGTATCCTATAATTATGTTAGCTTTGGTAGCGTTAAATGTGTATTAAGACTTAGAGCATGTGAAACCTAATAGTATATTGTTTCTTAAACAAAAACTACCAATTAACATGCAGTATATGCATTGTCGGGGTGAAGAGATCAAACATTTGCTTGTCATGTCCCTACAATGTAAGAATCAAAGTTTCAGTTTGGGGCAGTTGTCATTTTCACTTCAGCTACCCATCTTTGGGGAAAGAAATGTGATGTATCCCATTGATGGCCAGCTGAAAAACCAATATCATTGGTTCAAAGAAAAGGATTCCCCAATGAAATGCATGCCATCTTATGAAAGTTTAAGAGCCTTTCTTGCGAACAAAAACATTGCCAATCAATGCCAATCCTTGGTTTGTTGAGCTTTTAAAGGGCCTATACTTTCGAACTGGCCTCCATCCCATCAAGCACCAGGAAATCTCCAGGCTTGCACGCCACGGCGAGCATCGACTTGCAGATCTTGCAGTCACTGCCGTTGTCTCGGGAGTCTCATTTCATAGCACCCTTCCAGGTGGCTTTTTTGGTGTTACCCAAGAGGCGCGGTGTTGCTTAGCTAAGCAGTTGCACCGCCAATGGCACGGGCATCTGACCAAGTTCCAGGCGACCCAGTCCGAACGGAAAGGATCCACAGATGCAGGGGCAGGAAATTGGAATCCATCTTTGTTGAACAAAGATTCGTAGGAAATTTTCCTGGCAACAAAGATAGATTCCAATTGACAAAGATGAAGCTTTGTGTCAGTAATGCCAACCCTGGATTAATAAACCCCTAGGTTGTTTAATTGGGGGGGGATCCCATTTAAATCATTTCAGTATCATATTATATTGTGACTATTTGGAGGGTACCCCACTTTTTTCATAAACCATGGTTTATTCATCCGGAGTTGGCATATTAGTCATTGCTTAACCAGCAATACTGATCAACTCGTTGAGAACACAAATCTCCCAGTATGAAAGGCCAGCAAAAAAATGTCAAGTTGTGCCGGCCCAGTTTCAACGAATAACAAACTAATTTTCTATCCATCACAGAAATACGGCTGAACATTCTTAAGTGTGCTCCAGAGCAAATTCTTTATGGTTTCCTGAAATGGGCGTACCAAATCATCAAAATTAGACCATCATTTTATTATTGAAATCAATGGTTTTGGGATACACCATTTTAAGAAACCCCAATATGACCTCATCAAGTTTCTGGGTCAATCGCACCCACACCTACATGACTTAGTCTCCGATTAGGGCCATAAGGTTGGTGCATTGGTGCGGCCCAGTTAACCGTAGATAGATAAATACATACTATATATATATATATAAATAAATATGTGTATATATATATATGTATATATTATGTATATATTATGTATATAGTCTATAGATAGATAGATAGATAGATAGATAGATAGATCTATAGATCTATAGATCTACCATAAGCCCTAGAATTCACTTATAAACCCACTTCGGAAACGATTTCTGAGCACCTCGGGCCATCCGAAGCGCGAGGCCAAGGTTTCAATCAAGGCATCCACACCTGTTAAACCCAAAACCATCCACGACAATAACAGCGGACACCAATCAAATTTTAATGGACTGTTGTGGATGAATGGGTTTAACCATTCCATAGTAATTACCAAACAGAAATAATGGTTGGTGCATTGCTTAACCATTGTTTAACCAATGACAAAGTTTGGTGCATTGTTTAACCATTCATAACAGACGACAATAATCATGGTAGAACCCAATGTCTACCAAGAATGTTCTACCACTAATTACCAGTGGACACCAATCAAAATATAGATGCTACTGTTCTTTGACCATCTGGTAACATGGCAAAGGAAACTATCATAGACTTGAAATCTCAACTCGTAGCTCCGAACCGCTCCCCAATTCATACAAAGTGGGGCCCCCGTTCGATAGCCAAGTGAGTTTTTAAATCCAATAACTATGGTTTATGAATGTTTATGATATTTAAAACGAAATAGTTGATGGGGTTTATAACCAAACGTTCACATCACTGGGGGCCCTACAATATGGTGGGCATATGGATACCTAGGTCCGAGGGTAAACAGCCCCATGGGCCCCATGGCTAGGGAATCCCACATAAATGGGAGATGTTCCATTGCAATGTTTGATTACCGGAGGGTATGAACGGAGATGCACACTTGAAAGTCCCCGATTAGGTAGATTTGACTTATCTATGTTTAAGTATATATATATGTTTATAGTTGGATGTGTTTCGAATCAAAACAACTGGTTCCAGTAGCCCAAACACTGGAAAACCTTTGATTTACATAATCCTTATGATACATCTATTTTACAAAGTTATATATATATGTATAATATATAATCAATATATGACATAATCTTATGTAATATTATGTAATGACATGGCTTTGTCTGAACCTGGGATCAAAACTGAGGACAAGTCATCCGATTTCCATGGTTTTCCAGCACGGGGCCACGGTTCTTTTCGGTGTTTCCATCGTGAAATCTGGGGTGCCTGGGCGACCTGAAACCCACCAAGGAGATTTGGAGATGTCAGACATGCCTTCAGTTTTGGATTTCGTTCCCAAGTCATCTGTTTTTTGGTGACTTTGGTGTCCAGAGAAGTCCGACGCGAAAAAAACACCGTCCTGTGATCTGTACCCAGTAATTATACAAGGTGGTGCCCCCCTAGTTATAATTGGTTTATAATCCCATTAACTATAGATATATCACCTATAAACCATAGTTATTGGAGTTATAAACCAACTTAGTTTACCAGAGGGTAGGTTTCTTAAAAAACCATGGGTTTCACCAAACAAATGGTCCAAAAATAGCACGCTTTGGGGTGTACCCCCAAGACGGCGATTGATTGCTTTGCCTCGTCGAACCGGTCTCCTTTCGAGGTCCTGCGTCCAAAGTGCCGTCCGTGTTTTTGCTGACACTGACATGATTGAAAAATGTGAGAATCTCGTCACAAACAATGCATTTGGATATATCATGATATATTTATCTATATATATATATGTATCTATATCTCAATCATTCTCTATATATATATATAAATATAGATACATACATACAAATACATCTTAACAATGAAGGGTCCTGGGGTATATTATATAACCAGCTTGATACTGTGACAAAATGGCGCCAAATCATAGGGACCGTGATGATAAATTACAGTTGTTGTCTGAAAACAAGAGCCCCATGTTGCACAAGTCAATATCTCGTTCTCTGACTCCAAAATCTATACAACATCTTACAAGCATAAAACTCGAGTTTGATATACATGGGACAGCATAGCCATGGTTCCAGTGTTGATTGCAAATATAATTATCATCAACTCAATTTCTACAAAGTGGGGCCCCCTTTACGAAATCGTCAAGTTGGTGCCAATAAATCCTGGTTTTCACTATCGTTTATGCTATTTGTAACTATAGTTAATGGGATTTACAAACCAACGTTCATATCGCTGGGGGGCCTATGACTAAGGCTTTTAAGCGAGTTACGAGTAAAGCAAAAGCTCTATGTTTTTTCATTAACTGGAGAACTCGAAGCCACTTTTGAGCATATAATTGCGACATCCCCCTTGCAATTTGGGGGGGGTGCTGGACCCCTCGATTCTGTAGAGGGCCCCAACGTCAGGTACCCTGTGGCCACTCTACTAAATCAATCTCTGCTCTCCAGGGTAGGGATTTACCTTCTACAAAATCAAGAACCTTCCACAGCCCTCATATCTGACAAAAAAAATCATGTTTTCTACAAAATCAAGGACCTCACATGTGAAGGCATCAAAACAAATCAAAAAATATCACTTGTTGAGTTAAAACCTCAAATGATGATTCTGTAGAGATTTGTGTTAGGGTCGATTCTGTAGAGATTTTTTGTTGGTCTTTGATTTTGTAGCATGAAATTTTACAAGTTTTACAAGTCAGCCAAAGATGTCCAAAATGGCCAGCCTTTGATTTTGTAGCATGAGTTCCTTTACAAGATTTTACAACTCAGTCCAAGATGTCCAAAATGGCCAGTCTTTGATTTTGTAGCATGAGTTCCTTTACAAGATTTTACAAGTCAGTCCAAGATGTCCAAAATGGCCAGTCTTTGATTTTGCAGTCAGCCCAAGATGTCCAAAATGGCCAGTCTTTGATTTTGTAGCATGAGTTCCTTTACAAAATTTTACAAGTCAGTCCAAGATGTCCAAAATGGCCAGCCTTTGATTTTGTAGCATGAATTCCTTTACAAGATTTTACAAGTCAGTCCAAGATGTCCAAAATGGCCAGTCTTTGATTTTGTAGCATGAGTTCCTTTACAAGATTTTACAAGTCAGTCCAAGATGTCCAAAATGGCCAGTCTTTGATTTTGTAGCATGAGTTCCTTTACAAAATTTTACAAGCCAGTCCAAGATGTCCAAAATGGCCCGTCTTTGATTTTGTAGTCAGTCCAAGATGTCCAAAATGGCCAGTCTTTGATTTTGTAGCATGAGTTCCTTTACAAGATTTTTCAAGTCAGTCCAAGATGTCCCAATGGGCCAGCCTTTGATTTTGTAGCATGAGTTCCTTTACAAGATTTTACAACTCAGTCCAAGATGTCCAAAATGGCCAGTCTTTGATTCTGTAGCATGAGTTCCTTTACAAGATTTTACAAGTCAGCCCAAGATGTCCAAAATGGCCAGTCTTTGATTTTGTAGCATGAGTTCCTTTACAAGATTTTACAAGTCAGTCCAAGATGTCCAAAATGACCGGCCTTTGATTTTGTAGCATCATTTCTTTAGGCAGATTCATACGTGCTACAAAATCAAGAACCTCACATTTGAAGGCATCAAAAATCATCACTTTTTGAGATCAAACGTCCACGTTGATTCTATAGAGATTTTGTTTGGAGTCGATTCTGTAGAGATTTTTTGTTGGTCTTTGATTTTGAAGCATGAATGTTTACAAGTTTTACAAGCCCCATCCAAAGTCCCAAGTACCTGCCTTTCATTTTGTAGCTACAAGCCCCTCCAAAGTCCCAAGGCCAAGTGTCTGCTTTTTGATTTTGCCGCCTTTTTCTCATATGTTCGCTACAAAATCAAAAATTCTAGGTTTTCTTCAGATAGGTCGCTCTACAAAATCAAAGTCTCACCTTTTCACAAGTGGGCCCCCTACATCTGCTCTACAAAATCAGGCTCTAAAATCTCAAGCAAAAATCCTTATTCTGAAATCCTACCAGTATATATATATATATAAACTTTTGAGGGGTTCTCACGAAAAGTAGGCCCTTAAAGATTCTTAGGGCAAAAATCTCAGGAATGCCGGGGGCATCTTCAAAATTCCAAAAACCCAGGACCCTGGAGCTCATAAAATAGAACCTTGATTTTGTAGAGGCCAATCTGTGGTTCCCCCTTGGAGATTGATTTTGTAGAGGGTGACACCTTGGTGTATGATTTTGTAAAGGCCACGATTGGCTGCCACGTAAACCTTTCCTACTGCAAAGGCTACCCCTGGTATTGAAGACTAACCAGCATTTTTCACATCTAACCTCCCTCTACAAAATCAAAAACCCATACATGTTGGGCAACAGGGGTTTCCGGGGAACTATCCTTTACAGAATCAAGGTCATTCCCTTTTACCATCTCTCACAATCAAGATCTGAAGATATGATATTGAGGGGCATGCTTTACTAGAAAATCAAAAGACCTTAGGGTGTCGCCAGCATTATGTCTACGAAATCAGTTCCTTGACCAAAATGTAAGGTTTTGTGCACTTTCTGCTCAACGTTGGGACCCCCATTTACAGAATCATGGGCCTACCAAGATACAATCCAAACATGTCCAAAATGGATGGTTTTTGGGTGCTTGCCAGCCCATGGTCTTTGATTTTGTAGCAAAGTAGGGGTGCAGGATGGCTCTACAGAATCGAAGGTTTTTGGGGTGTCAACACCCCTGATAGCTGAATGAAGGAAATCACGGCGAGACCGTGCAAATCAACGCCCATGGCAGGCTACCCCAATATGAAACCAAATGACCCCACTACAGAATCAAGGTCGTTCCCTCCAAATATCTCTCACCACTACAGAATCAAGATCTGATAGATCTAAAGAAAAATGGTCTTATGGAAATGATATTACTACAGAATCAAGAACCTGCATTCTACATCTGACATCTCTCTACAAAATCAAAAACCCATACATGATGGGGCAACAGGTGTTTCAGGGGACCCATCCTTTACAGAATCAAGGTCATTCCCTCTCACCATCCCTCACCACTACAGAATCAAGATCTGAAGGTATGACATTGATGAGCATGCTCTGACTACAAAATCAAAGACCTTAGGACATCACCAGCCTTATTTCTCCAAAATCAGTTCCTTACCCAAAATGTAAGGTTTTGTGCACTCCCAGCTGAGTGTTGGGGCCCCTGTCTTTACATGTCTACAGAATCAGGGACCTACCAAGATACAGTCCAAAAATGATCAAAATTGGTGGTTCTTGGGTGGTTGCCAGCCCATGGTCCTTGATATTGTAGCACGGTAGGGTTTCAGACTGGCTCTCCAGAATCGAAGGTTTTTGGGGTCCCAACACCCTCGATTCTGTAGAGGAAATTGCAACCAGGATATTGTGACTATAGTTAATAAAATTTACAAACCAACTTATAACTTATAACTGGGTGGCCCCACATTCTACCCATGTTTGATACCATGACCTGCTGATGCTCGATCCCAAATTTCATTGGTTGAAGGGGAAAAACTTGTGCGGGAAACACAATCCTGCAGCATTTCCCTGAAATCAAGACATTGTTTGATGGTTATGTCGAGGTTTTAGAGGTTTTCTTGGGTAATCCATCATTTTGTTGGTGAGACCTATGTTGATTGAAGCCTCATTTTTAATAACTGATTGGTGGGTTCAACCCCTCTGAAAAATATGAAAGTCACTTGGGATGATTATTCCCAATGTATGGAAAAATAAAAATGTTCCAAACCAGCAAACAGATAACTTTTGTTGCTTAAACTCAGACTTTGTCAGGTTCAACCCACCATCTCCCAGGTACCAAGATTTTCCCTGGTGAAACCGCCGCAATTTTCTCCCAGTTTCTTCGCCCATCTCGGTCTCCTGATTTCCGAGCTTTGAAGTGGGCCCGCTACTCCTGCAGGTTGCGTCAAAAACCTGGAATTGGAAGTGATTCCATTTCATAATCATCGGAAATTCTGAAATAAAACATACATATTTGAAACCAGAAGAGTGTTCAGTTGCTTGCAGATGGGTTTGGGGAGCTTAAGAAGGTATTAATGAATCGTGCTGAGGAACTGACAGCAGAAATTCAACATGGCCAGAATCTGTGACATGAGACTTCAATACCTGTCCAATTGTTAAAGATTCGTAGTTCCAAGTTAGCGATGGCTAGCATCTGAAAAGATTTAAGTTATCTGTGCATCAATTCGATAGATTGTTGTCTTGTCATATATATATACATACATACATACATACATACATACATACGGTAAGCCCCTCATCTGTGACACCAAATCCCCCTCATCTGTGACACCAAAACCCCCCTGATTTTCCCTCATCTGCGACACCATTTTCCCCTCATCTGCGACACCATCTGGTTTTAGGGTGGGTGGGGTGGGGTGGTGGGGTTGGGGGTTGGGGTGGGGTGGGGTGGGGTGGGATGATAACGTCCATGTTCCTGTGCGCACACAGGCACGGCAACCTCATCACACGAGAGCTGGCGGTGGGTCTCTGTCCCTTTCTCTCCCTGGTGGTCCGTTTTGGCCGCTCAGCAGCCCAAATCCTCCAAAACAGACCTCGCCAGCTTGGTCTGCTTGGCTGTGCTCTCCCCAGGAGTCCGTTTTGGAGGATTTGGGCTGCTGAGCGTCCAAAACGGACACCAGAGGGAGAGCAAGGAGCACAGCCAACCTGACCAAGCTGGCGAGGTCCGCTTTGGAGCATTTAGCGGCCAAAACAGCCAAGCAGACCAAGCTGGCGAGGCCCGTTTTGGAGGATTTGGGCCGCTCAGCGGACAAAACGGAGCACCAGGGAGAGACAGGGACAGAGACCTTCGACTTTTTCACCGACCTCTCTGGACACAGAGGTTGTACCTGTGTCTGCTCTCTCTCTTCCTGGCTGTCTGCTTGTGGCTTTCTGTGAGATCCTGTCTGGATACACCTTTTTTCTGCCAAAATTTGCAGATCATGTCCTATATGGCAGGGATGTCTAGCTCAGTCGGCAGAGGACAAGGCTCTTAACCTGAAGATTGTAAGTTCAACCCTCCCCTGCACCTGCAACCAATGGAAGAGTTGGGGGTCGGTTTTGAAGGATTTAGGCTGCTGAGCGGCCAAAAAGGACCACCAGAGGGAGAGCAAGGAGCACAGCCAAGCGGACCGAGCTGGCGAGGTCCGTTTTGGAGGATTTGGGCTGCTGGGCGGGCAAAACGGACCACCAGAGGGAGAGCAAGGAGCACAGCCAAGCTGACCAAGCTGGCGAGGTCCGTTTTGGAGGATTTGGGCTGCTGAGCGGCCAAAAAGGACCACCAGAGGGAGAGCAAGGAGCACAGCCAAGCGGACCGAGCTGGCGAGGTCCGTTTTGAAGGATTTGGGCTGCTGGGCGGGCAAAACGGACCACCAGAGGGAGAGCAAGGAGCACAGCCAAGCTGACAAAGCTGGCGAGGTCCGTTTTGGAGGATTTGGGCTGCTGAGTGTCCAAAACGGACCACCAGAGGGAGAGCAAGGAGCACATCAAGCTGACCAAGTTGGCGAGGTCCGTTTTGGAGGATTTGGGCTTCTGAGCGGCCAAAACGGACCACCAGGGAGAGAGCAAGGAGCACAGCCAAGGAGACCAAGCTGGCGAGGTCCGTTTTGGAGGATTTGGGCCGCTCAGCGGACAAAACGGACCACCAGCAGGAGAGCAAGGCGCACAGCCAAGCAGACCAAGCTGGCAAGGTCCGTTTTGAAGGATTTGGGCTGCTGAGCGGCCAAAACGGGCCACCAGAGGGAGAGCAAGGAGCACAGCCAACCTGACCAAGCTGGCGAGGTCCGCTTTGGAGCATTTAGCGGCCAAAACAGCCAAGCAGACCAAGCTGGCGAGGTCCGTTTTGAAGGATTTGGGCTGCTGAGCGGCCAAAACGGGCCACCAGAGGGAGAGCAAGGAGCACAGCCAACCTGACCAAGCTGGCGAGGTCCGTTTTGGAGGATTTGGGCTGCTGAGCGGCCAAAACGGACCACCAGAGGGAGAGCAAGGAGCACAGCCAAGCGGACCGAGCTGGCGAGGTCCATTTTGGAGGATTTGGGTTGCTGAGCGGCCAAAACGGACCACCAGGGAGAGAAAGGGACAGAGACCCACCGCCAGCTCTCGTATGATGAGGTTGTCGTGCCTGTGTGTGTAGAGGAACATGGACGTTAAATCATCCCACCCCGCCCCACCACCCCACACCCCACCCCACCCCACCCCAATTCCACCCCCCCCACCCCACCCCACCCCTACCCAAGGGAAGAGCTGGGGAGGTCCGTTTTGAAGGATTCGGGCTGCTGAGCGGCCAAAACGGACCACCAGAGGGAGCCAGCCAAGCAGACCTTGCTGGCGAGGTCCGTTTTGGAGGATTTGGGCTGCTGAGCGGCCAAAACGGACCACCAGGGAGAGAAAGGGACAGAGACCCACCGCCAGCTCTCGTGTGATGAGGTTACCGTGCCTGTGTGCGCACAGGAACATGGAGGTTTACCGCCTAAACACAGTAAAAGCAACATGTCGATCCATTCATAGTCCACTTTTTGAAGGGTCGTGTTCACAGTTTTTCGGCAAAGCTGGAGTCCCAAAGAACGAATGTGTCTGATCACTCAAATGCGATGCTAAAATACAATGGCTTGAGTCAAAACCCCTGGAATCCAATGGGAAACATCAACCAGAATCTGGTAGCGATCATTGATGGTCATCCCCAAAACATACGGTAAAATAATCAATAGGTCTTGACCCATGGCCATATGGTATACCCTCTGGTAAATTAACAGTTTGAACCTGAAAATCACCAATTTTTAGTGGTTTCACAGTTTCACTACTCTTCCAAACCCGACAGCTGGCAGGGTCTATGTTAATTTACTGGAGGGTAATATGTTTTTTTTGGTGATTGATCTTTTTTTGGGTTACTATACATTATTCTACTCATTCCACATGTGTAGAGGAGACCATCAATGGAGGTGATACGGACGACTCTTCGACACCCTTCGAAGCCAAGCGAACTTTGGACCCCATGGATGCTTTAATCAAGCATCATAAAAACAAGATTGACAAAATGGTACAAATAAATACAAATAATGCACATAAAATCAACCATCACATCATGGATGCTTACTTTAATCATCCTGGATCATCATAAAAACAAAATGATGGCTTGGTGGTTTTACATCCTTTTCAATATCTGCCCCCAAAACATCCAGGATGAAGCAGCAGCGACGCATTCACGTGCGCGACGAAAACGACCTTCACAGCATTTTGCAAAAGGATGGGAGCGATGTGAAACAGTTCGGCACAGGCGCTTCGGATGGGGCAGCGGCGCTGGCTGGGATCTTTAGGGAGGTTGGTTGGTGGTTTGGAAGCATGGAATTTTATGATTTTCCATATATTGTGATTAATGGATTATAGATTTTATATTAGTGATCTGTGGAATGGTTGATTTTGCTGATTTCTTGGCAGAGACCAGGACATGTCATGTGCTGAGACCAGGAGAACCAAAGAAAATTCAGATAGCTCTGTGGTTCCAATTCGCAATGACATGATGGTTTTCTGAATATGAACTTCAGCGTTTTCCCCATGAACCTGGCAGTTTCAAGTTGACAATGGGGTTGTTGAGAATCCACTTTAGGAGTTGATTCAGTAACCTTAAGCATCCCTTTCAATGGCCTCTGCTGAAGTCTTGGGCGATTGGTTGAAGTGTGGTTATTACACCCTAAGAATTACTGGAGAAGTGGTACAACCTGGACATGGTCACTTCACGTCATTTGGCACGGCAAGCCGGCTGAAACTTCATGCCCCCCCAGATGGCCCAAGATATTCCATGGTATCCTTGGTCCTTTTTTCGACCAACTCATATGTCTACATGGATCAATCAATTCCTATAAACACATATAAACACCATATTTACAAAAAATGAACATCCATAAATCCCAGCCATATGGATCTATAATGATCTATATTGTGATGTTCCATCTCCATGCCACATTTCATGCCCATGAAAAATAGGTCGCTTCAAGCCGCTGGCGAATTTATACGCCGAGATTGAGGATGGAGCGTGTTGGCTTCAGGTGCACCTCTGGGGCTGATTTACCCTCTGGTAATTTGTGACATAGCTATAAAAAATCACCATTTTTCATGGGAAAATTCACTATAAATGGTGATTTTCCATAGTTATGTTAAATTACCAGAGGGTAAAGTGGGAGTTCAATGGATTTCACGGGATTTCGCTGATTTTTTTAAGGATTTTTTGCAAGAAGAAGAATGATCATTCTATAACTGCTTGGTGGTGACTGGAACCATGGAATCTTGAATGACTTTCCATATCTTATAGGAATAATCATCATCCCAACTGACGAACTCCATCATTTTTCAGAGGGGTAGGTTGAAACTATATAACCAGATAATGTCATTTTTGATGGGATGACATGGGGATCTACTGGGAGTATCAACGGAAGATCATCCGGGGAAAATGGCTTAGCCGTTTCCTCTCGGAAGAACCGAGACTTAGCTGGGCGTCTGCAAGCAACATCCAACAGGAATTTGCCAGACTCACCCAGCCACGGAAATCTTTGAGGCTTTTGGGGCCCATGGGGGACCAATTTTTTTTAACCAACAAACGGCAGGTGTTTTTTTTATTCGTACGGCAGGTCCTGGGGGTAGCCATCATGGTGTTTTTTTTGCAACAACATGATGATTTGACCAAGCATCCCAGTGATGGCTTGCTGTTCAGGATTGTCCGTATCTTAAAAGGTAAGGCCCTCCAGTTACAAGTCTGTGTATAAACACCATTAACTATATCAACCAAGTTATTTGCATCAAACTTAGCCTAAATCCATGACATCCCCTTTGCTGGCTAAATTAATACATTTTTTTGGTTTCTGGGGAGCCTCGCCTTGTAATTCTTGCTATAGTCGCTAAGAAATCTCAGAATATCCCCATCAAATCCCAGGTGAATAAGCCACGAAATCACCATGTCTGTTGGTGAAATCCAGTTAAGATCACCAGATTTCTGTTGGTTAAATCTCCGTCCTTAGATCCCATTTTTGACATCCCATTCTACCACGATTTTTCTTGGTCCGAAATCCCATGAAATCTCTGCTGATGGTTAAGTTCCCATGAAATTCCCAGTTGGATCAGCATTTTTTCTGGTCATATCATAGTTCAATCCCTATTTTCGTTGGAGGAATCCCCAGTTAAATCAGCATGTTCCTTGGTTAAATCCCTATTTTTGTTGGAACATCACCAGTTAGATCACCATGTTTCTTGGTTAAATCCCAGTAAAATCCGAATTTTTGATGGTTTTCGGTGGAGGAGAATGAGAGTGGCCGGATTGTCCGGGTGTTGGACATAGCCCCTTGGCCCGGTGGCGCTGGATGTCTGAAAAATTGGGCATTCAAAAAACGCCAGTTTTTTTGGGGATTGATATGGGATTTATAGGGATTTATAGAGATTTATGGGGAATTATAGAGATTTCTAGGAATTTGAGGGATTTCACCCGAGCCAAACATGTGGATTTGAACATCGCAAGAAGGGATTTAATCACCAAAGTATATGAATTGAACCAGCAGGAATATGCCAGATTTTTCTGATTTACATGCAGTCATTAAAAATAGGCACTGGTGGCATGTCAACATCAACGATAGGTTGGGGCCGGGGACACATCGGGGTATCAGCGACGTCGTAAGCATCGCTCGGTGCCACACTCGAAGTGACCAGGTCCTCGGATTGGCTTCGTATCATCCCACAATGATCGAACGAGTCGCTGCGAGTCACTGGTAATTTGGGTTTGTATTTAACCACGGGATAACCATGAAAAATGGTGATTTATTGGTATGTATAGGGATTTACCCTCTGGGAATTTAACATAGCTATTGAAGATGGCCATTTGAAGTTGATTTTCCCATTAAAAAATGCCATTTTCAATAGCTATGTTAAATTACCAGAGGGTATCGTGGATTTTTTGTTGCAAATGAACGTTCAAAATGGAGTTGTTCGCAAAAGAACGTGTTTTTCAGGAAAGTGATGAGCGATCATTGATTTAGGGGCAATCAACATCACATCCACAGTCTAGGACCTCACTGCCACCTGGAAGTGATACAAAAACAATGATCTGAACAAGAAAAGGCGAAACTGAAAATCAGGTTGGTGAGGTATATTGTAATTTTCCCAGATCAATATATATATATATACATACATACATATGATATACCCTCTGGTAATTTGTTAACATAGCTATGATCAATGGTTTGGAGGTCCTGGTACTTGGTTTTGTGATAACCTAATCCGACCAAAACAGAATGACGAAATCAGCCATCGCTGGAGCAAGTCACGACTCTATGGATCCGGGTTTGGTCATCACCATGGGAATCATAGGCAAGTCATCGAACTATACATGGACCATGTCCATCCATGTTCATCCATTTTCCAATTTTAGCTACCACATACATTTTCAAACATACTTTTTGAATCATTTTGAGCTACCTGACATACATTTTTGCCCACAGGGGCTGTGGCTAGATTGGATGTCATAAAGCTATGCTGAATTACCATAGGGATCCATAGGGTATGCTCATGATTTTCCCATGATTTTCTTCTCAAATAGCGCGCCTCAAATAGGGGGGCCCCATCGACACAGCTTCAATCGGGATGGTGAGACGAGAGTATGTTCCGATATCTTAACTCTTGGAACATACCCCATGAAAATCAAGCCAGAATATGTTCCAAGAGGTCTTGGAGAGACTTTAAGTGCATCTTGAAGAGACTTTTTCACAATCTTACGTGCGGCGCATCCAATTCTATCCATCCAATTCCATCCAATTCCATCCAATTCCATCCAATTCCATCCAATTCCATCAGGGATACTGGTAGATTCACCGACACAAAATTCCATGGGCTTTTTCCATGGAGAGGTTGGTTTGTCTCAGAGGTTGGCCCCATGGATGATACCCTCTGGTAAACGTTTACATGACCACGGAAAAATCCAGCCATTTTTCATTGGTAAATCCACTATTTCGACTGGGCAATTTTCCAGTTCGCTATGTCACAGTCATTACCAGGTTGGGTATATCCCATGATCATCCCATTCTTCACCATTGTTAACCTTGTTAAACCATGAAAAATCACCATTTATAGTGGTTAATCACCATTACACCATGAACTATGTTAGAGGGTATTATTAGTTCTCTGGTTGGTGGTAAACATACCAAAACATCTGGAAAGATCCACCAATTTTCTAGCTGGATCAATCCACTAAATTTCGACTGGGTCATTTTCAGTTCGCTATTTTGACATAACCAGGCCGGGTAAATCCCATGATCATCCCATGGTTATTACACCATTAACTATATGTTAGTTTACCGGAGGGATGCAGACGCCAGGTCTACATGATGATCAAATTCCAGGACATGCTTTTGGTGGAATCACATGAGCAAGATGGCACCATCATCCAGACCCGGAACTCCTTGCCGAGCACCTGCATGAAGATTAAGGACGCGGTTAACGAAACCCGAAACCTGTGACGACACGGGAGGTGATGAACAGTGAAAAATGCTGGAAAATGATGGAACATGTTACTGGTTGGTGGTTTGGAACCTTTTTTCATTTTCCATAATATATGGATATATATATATATATTTATATGGGATGTCATCCTTCCCATTGACTTTCATATTTTTCAAGATGGTTAAAACCACCAACCAGGTTAGGATTGTCTGGGATTTTCCATGGGGATTTGCGGGTTGTCGACGATTCCGGGGGAAGTCAGCAGATCCCGGGGGTGAAATCGTACTTTGCTAGGCAGAGTGTCTGATTTGGCGAAAAAACAACCTTGGGTAAACTGACATAAATGTGAAACAACATATGGTTTCCCCGAAAAAACATGAACACACTTGGTGGGTGTTAAAGATCTATATATGTAAACGTTTATATACTGTTCAACTACCGTATCTTTCGACTTTTGTTGGTTACATCTGCCATTTTCAGGGTTGGGATTTGCACATTCCTTGAACAAGTTGCTCCAAACCATACTAAAGTGCAGCCACTTTCGGGGCGACAAAGGTGGCCAAGGGAGCATCCATGCGATTCTTCCATGCTAAACAAGACTTAACCAGTAACCACTCTTAGTCACTACTAACCACTATTAGTTACTATTAACTCTATTAACATCTATTAACCACTTTCTGTAACTAGCCCATATGCTCCATGTATGGAATATTTACTAACAGTTGCTCTAAAAATCACCCAGTCATGTAGGTAAATCATGGTAAATCTATAAATGGATATACATGGAGCATATGGGTAGTAGTAACCACTACGTGCAGCACTACGAAGCACGTTACGAAGCCCGGGACTCCCCCGGACCCAAACAGCAGGACAACCTCCCGGTCGTGCTGGAAAAATGGTTTCAGAGCGGCCTTCAGGTGCCATTGGGTGAATTCGATGGTTGCCAGTAAAAATGGATGTTTATGGTAGATATATGATGATATATGATGATATATGATATATATGATACATTATATATAATACTATAAACCATATATATATAATATTCTACTATCAACATTTTATTACTTTATGGTTGTGAACATTTCACTGCCCCCCGTTTAGGAGAGCTGATGCGAAGCCAAATGGGTGAGAAATGTGAAATGAGATGTTCTGACCCAGCCAAAGGGTTGTGCCCCAAAACATTAGCCACATTGGTTTATTTATAGCCGACATGAGGGGTTCCTAAAATGGGGGTACCCCCAAATCATTCATTTTCATAGGATGTTCCCTTATAAACCATCCATTTTGGGGAATCACCATTTATGGAAATCTCCATATATGGTAATTAAATGTAATTAATGGTTATTATTGATTATCATTGATTAACAGAATTCAAACCATTAGAATATGGAATATTCGGGATCTGTATTTTCATTTATGGAAACCTCATATAGGCTTTATGGTAGATATAGATGTCCCCCTTCGAAAAAAAATTGACCTTAAAAGGTCAACCCCCGTAGTCGTAAGTGGGTATATTATCCATCGAACGATATATTTATTCACCATCAATTAACCTGCAACTGTTAGATATATAGCTGAAATTAATTGGGGTGATGGTCCGTTAAGTCAAGTTGCCCCATACCATTGAATTACCCAACAAATATTCTATAGTTAAGTCAGCAGTGTTAACCGCTTTCTCAGCGCAGAACTGTGTTCAGTTCTCTCTTTTTTTCACATGTTTTTCCCATGTTTTTCCTGCTTGCATGTTGCTGCTTGTTTGGTAGCTCTAGTATGCACCCAAAGGAGACAGAAAAGGATGGTTCGTGAAACATCGAGCGGTAAAATCCAAGATCTGTTAGATGATCTAAGATGATCTACCCTCTACCCTCTTGTAAACGTTTACATAACTATAGAACATCACCATTTTTAATGGGTAAACCAACTATTTCGACTGGGCCATTTTCAATAGCTTTAACTGTATGTTTACCAGGCCGGGTAAGTGTCGAACCCCGGTTTTGGGGTTCTCTCAACCTTCACCTGTTGGTTGGCACTTCAGTAACCAACAGCATTTCGCGATGGTCCCTTTATGCAGGGGGAGCTGCCAGGTAGATATTGCTCCGTACATCGAGACAGAGGATGGCAACCTCTGCCATGAAACCATGGTGGTTTAACCATGGGTTTAACCAATGAATTCGGAAGTCATGTGGGATTGATAGCGAAGTTGCGCCTACTAATTTTCCATAGAGTTCATTTCAATAACCATTGGGTTTATGGTAGATATATCTGGGGATCAAAAGAAATTTGCTACTTGGATGATCTTGGATGTGCATCCCAGTCAAGGTTCGTGGGCATGTTGACTTCACCAGCAAAAAAAAGTAGGGAAACATTCGAAGAATTGGGGATTAATCAATGAAACATGATGAAACACTTACTGGTGCGTTTTACGTAGGGAATTTTCGGGAATGATCCATAATCACTAGTAATGTCATCCCAGCAACCCCCAGCAACCCATCCATTCCCATCCATTCCCTACGTAAAATGCACCAGTAAGATGAAACATGATGAAACATGGGGGTTTGATCATTGAACATACCCTCTGGTAAACATACAAAAAGCCATTGAACATGGCCCAGTCGAAATAGTTGATTTAGCCATTAACAAATGGTGATTTTCCCAGTAAAAATAGTTGATTTTCCCATTGAAAATGGTGATTTTCCCATTCAAAATGGGTGGATTTTCCAGTTCGCTATGTAACAAATTACCAGAGGGTAGGGATTCGATTTGACCTGAGAAAACACCTATGGGTGCTCTGGGTTCAAAATGACACAGTTTCACCATAGCAAGGCTGGGGGTTCAATTGAT